TGAAAAGCAACCCCTGCTGAAATTTCTCATACTGATGTTGGTGTTTAATAACACGAGGCGTAACCAGCGCTGCTGTGTCAATACTCCTCCTAAGCTTAACAGGTTTGTCAAAGACACTTTCCTCCTATGAATTATTGTCGCATTCACATTTTTGAGTACATTGTAATGAAGAAAGAAGACATTAAACAAATGTTTTGCTATCTTCTTCTGTGACATTACTGTCGGTTTTTTGTTTCATCTCAGTGACAACAGGCCTGCCAAAGCTTTCTCCATCTCCTGGAGTGTTTACTTTGATCAAACATAGATTAAGACTCGTGCAATGAATGCCGCCGAAGGTGACCTCTACACACACTCTCATCCAACCATGAATTTTCTTTCTTTACTTTTCAGAACCTGCCGACAACGTTTGCTTTTAGCCCAAAGCAGGAAGGAAATAGCATTTTTTATTCATCGAAAGTAGAGCTGGAACAAGTTGGTTAATCATTAATAATCAATTAATCAACTAATTTAGTAAACTAATTGTTAGATGGAAAAAAGACTAAAAAACACATATTCAGAAATTAAACTAAAACAGTACAAAAATATACTCTGCTGTTTTCAAAAAACAGCTTAGTTGAAGTATTTTTTTAACTGCACAATAATCCTTTGCTACAAATGATCAAACATACAGTTGCATTTAAGGCAAAAAAATTTAGATTTTCTTATTTAAAAATGAATTGAATCTTTAATATTCTATAAAATAAGCTTAGGTGGCTAATTTATAATTTTTTAAACCCAATTACTTGATTAATCACTATAATAATTGATATAATACTTGATGACTAACCCTGTCAAAATAACAAAAATTGCTGAATGATAAATTGTCCCATAACTTATTGCTATAAACAATAACATTGTTTAGAGAACATGTAATATAAAGGTAATGACATAGTGAAGCCAGAACATGTTCTTAAAGAGCAATAAACTTTAGATTCTAAAGAACATTTAAAGGAAGACATTTTAAATACCACAAATAAGTGAACGAAACGACAAATAAAATGAATTATTCAGTTTTTAAACAAAAATTGTCCTTCAAAAAAGGGCTATTTGAGACTAAAGCACCAGACTGCAGACTTTTATCATCATGTTTCTGGTAGAAAGAGAAAAACTATACATCATACAAATGGAAATTATTGATCTCTTTTCAATTCATCAAGCAATTAATTGATTTACTGTGACAGGCCTATTATTACTCAAATAACTGTTAGCTGCTGTCCTAAGTCCTACCTCAATCGTAACTGTCAAATTTTGCCCCACAGATATCTGGATTTAACAGATTTTTCCATAAATACACACACCAGAAAATGTCCTCCAGCAGCTCTTTTAGGTCATTAACTTCTTATCTTTGACTCACTCAGCAATCCTCTATCAGCTGCCCATGTAAATGAGAATATTTAGTGGAACTGCACTCTAAAAATCCCGTTTTCCAATTAAAAACACGCCAGAATATGGCCCCTGCTTATCTAAACACTATTTCTGAACAAACGTCTCATAACATCAGCTGGAGCAGCAGGCTGACTGCTTGCTACGGGGCTGCCACCTGACACCACCTCTGGGACTCCAGCACAGGGCTTTCCACTTGTTTCCCCGAACACACTCTGCAGAGACATCACAACACCAGACACGCTGCAGGCGGCTACAAGATTTACTGAAAGGATTTTTAGGAATGATAAGACCCCAGATGACAGGGAACACAACACACCCCAATTTTGTTGTTGTATATTGTGCTTTGTACGAACGCTCAGCAGCCATGATGGTTTTGAATATGGGTCACTTAATTTGGGTATATGGCAGGAAACCCAAGCTGGTTTTATACAGCACACGGAAACCAACAGAACGGGCGGAGCAGCCTGAAAGGCACTACTTCATGCATTCTTTCCCAAAGACCAGACGCCGAGTGAATTTCAGAGAACATGATGATGAGTAAAGGTGCAATCACACCTCTCCTGTTTGGTCCACTTTATTCCAACTCCAGTTTGTTTGTTTTTTATTGTTCTATTTGTTGTTATATAAAGAATTTATAATCTTCATTGGAAGGAAGTTGGGAATTATTCTGATGCTGTATGTCCGGTTCAATTTTCATTATTACTATGAGTCCATAGATTTTCTTTAGTTTGTAATAATTCTTTTACATAATAAAATAGATTTGTTGGTTCTAGGCATATACCAATAACATGGCATGGTCACAAATTTCTAATAATTATTGAGTTGGTAAGTGATATGTTTAATTAAATGGAGATGAGGTGTTTTAATCAATAAGTCTTCACTTCTTCCTACACTTTTTTGAACAGAAAAGTAGAGGTAAGCCAATTATTTTGTTATTGGTGATGTGTACATGCTTTCTTTAGTGCAGAAAGCACAAGACATGTTTCTTGTTTTTAAAAACCAGCTTGAAATAAACAAATAAAAGTCTGGTTTGTTTGGGGAAGTGTGAATGCAAAATCAAATTCTGTAAAAAGCCAACTCTAGTTTTGGTTCGAACTCTGGTGTGGTTCAAATTCAAGCAGATCAAAGACTGCTCCAGAGGAGGAAACGGTTTACAATGCCGGGTATTATGGGTAACCACAACCAAAACATACATTAGAGTGGGAGAAATGTCCCGTGGTCTTCCATCAACAACAAAAAAGAAATTATAAAACAATTATAAAACAATTTGATGAAAGAAAATCTACAGGTAAAAGATGTGAACACTGTTGGGAAGTGGTGATTTAGTCAAATGTGTGAAAAAATACTAAATGTAGCACTATAAGTCGCTACATTTTGACCTTCAAAACAAGGTAAAAAAATATTATGAACATGCTGTCTTCAAAAGTCTTCCTCAAGACTCCATAAACCAGAACATCATATTTCTGTATTACAAAATTTGTTGTCAATTGATTTTTCTAGAATCTGAATTTCATTCAGACATGGCTTATATGTATCTGTGACCAATAAATGTTCCCTGGGAATTGGTATGTTAGCAATTTGACGTTCAATTTAAGTGAATTTAAACATTTTAACTTTAACTCCTGTCAGGTAAGATCAGAAAACTGAGGCTACAATCCACACAAACTCAACCAAATTGGGCAATAATGCCAAAAAATGTTGCCTGGTCACGTCAGAACTTGGTGCTAATAAAATTTTAGGATTTTATTAGCTTTGGGTCAAAATTATCAAGATCTTCATAGATTAGCACCAGTCTTTGCTTAATGAATCTATATTTTATGGGTTTTACTTTATTAATTATATTTTCTATTCTAATTTACTGATGTGAAGGTATTTTAATAAATCAATGCTTTTCAAATAAAATTGCTAAGATACCAATTCCCAGGGAACATTTATTGGTCACAGATACATATAAGCCATGTCTGAATGACCTACAGGTGTCTGGGTTAGAACGTGTGAAACTGAGCGATTATCTGACTTATAAATGGACCTTTAAAACTCTAAACTTAGCCTTCTTTAAACAACAATTGACAAGCATAAATAAAAAAGGAAATTCAATGACCTGGATTAGACCTGTAGGCCTCTCAATTACAGACCCCACTTTACTAGAAAAGCCAGAAGACTGTAAATAATGTGTAAATAATAGATAAATCCAGGATTATCACGTGTAACTGTATCTCAGTGCTGCTGCGTCATCTGCATCATGAGAAACTTGATTGCAAAGGTCTAACCAGCATCTCCAGAGATATTCAGATAAGATTCTTGTCAATAAACACCTTTATTAAGTATTTATAGACCTTTTAGGTAACAATGTGTTAGCCATTTCCCCATGCATGTCAAATATAAAAAAATGGTAACACATTTTTCACTTTTATCTCAATTTTGAGTTCTCAAAGCAAAAATTCATGTTGAAATTAGTGCAATAACACCAGTGAAAAAATGACTATTTTTGCTCAATCATCCTGAAATAAATTAAAATGAGTTTCACACTGAAATTTTAGGTGGTATTGTTTGGTTTCTGTGGCTAATGATACTGTTAAGAACACTTGATCAACAGCTTATCAGCTCAAATCACATGGCAGTGAATCAATGCATTCAAGCATGAAGATATGGCACAGACAACTTGATGCTCAAACACAGAATTAAAATGTTAAAAAATTATTGTTATTTAAATGAATTTAAACATTTTAACCTTAACTCCTGTCAGGTAAGAACAGAAAACTGAGGCTACAATCCACACAAACTCAACTAACCCTACCCTAACCCTACCCTAACCCTTGGGCAATAATGCCAAAAAATGGTAGCGTCAGAACTTGGTGTAAACAATAAATACGCCTTATATGAACAGTTCAAGCTACTGGTGACCAACATCTACTTTCAGCAGGATAATGTTCCTTATTTCAAAGCTCAAATCAGCCCAACAGTTTTTGCAATTATCAGATCTCAACACATTTGGTAAAAGAAAATGGAGTCAGAGCCTCATAGGATGTTGTGACTCAACAGGTATGGGGTGGAAATGTTAGAAGAAATTCAAAATAAACTAGTACATGCATCTGTAAGTTACCAATATTCGCTACAACTGCATTAGAGGATCTTTTAAACATGGAGGAAGAGGAGATAGTCATCATGGACAGGCAGCCAAAAATCTGCTGCATCTGTGTGATGTAACTAAGTCAGTATGAATCTCCAAAACATGATTTGCTGAATCTAAACCACAAAATTAAGGAAGAAATACGGGGTTACCAACTTGTTTCTAACAAGGTATGACTAATAAAGTGTTTATTTTACATTGTGCACCCTTGAAATATATAGGTCAAATATATTTTTTTTATTTTTCATCTCTAAATCATAGAATCTAAATGTTTAAGTATTTTTCTCAGTGGATTTCTGGTATTGTCCAGTTATGGTGCATCTCCTCCTTGTTATCAGTCGTTTAACCCTTTTGAAAACTTTCTCGAGTCGCGTCTGGGTTTCTATAAAGCGTTCAGTCATTTATTTACCCATCACCCAGTTAATGTTGCTCCACAGATCCTCACCTCTTTGATTTTAGCCCGTCTCTCCTTGGTTTCGGGGTCCAGCGGTTCGTGTCCCGTCGCTCCGGGCGGACGCTGATATTCAATGAGAGGAATTTTATTCACATCATTCCCAGCCTGACCCGCAATGTTAACTTGAGCCTTGTCGTTCATGATGTCCCGTTGTATCTCCTCGGGCCGCTTCTGGAGCGTGTCCTTGGCCTCCAGCAGCGCCTTTTCGTGGTCCTTCTTGATCTTGGCCAGGACCCGGTCGTCGCTCACAGCCGAGCCGGAGAAGCTGCTCTCCGGACCGGTGCGGGTGTTGGTCTCCACCGCCGGGGAGCGGAAGAAAACTCCGCTGAGAAGCTTCGACGAGTCCGGGAGGAAGAAGATAGCCCCGAAACACAGGGTGATGAAGGCGCTGAACACCAGGAGAAGGATAAATTTCTCTGTCAGCCTGAAAGAAGTCGGGCTGGCGGACTTCCTATTTGGCGGAGCGGTGAAAGGTAGAAGAGTTGCAACTGGCATTTTCACCCTTTTCCCCTTTAAGACAACTCGAACCAAGAGGAAAACAAAAAGGTTCTAAACACTCTGTTTAACTCAACTTTGGTTTACTCCTCTCACAAACCCATTTCCGAGTCATATGAGTGGACTAAAGCGACAAGCGGACGGTTTAAAAATCTCCGGTGAAAAGTTGGTGGACGAGAAGCCGCCGTCCATGCCGAAGCCTCTCCGCAGACAGACCCGAGTTCCAACGACTCGCGCACACACAGGAAGCAGCGCCTCGTGGGCGTGGCCAAAGCCGTAACTGACAGCAGGGAGGAGCCAATCACATTCCGCCCCGTCAGAGGTGGGAGTTCTGACGGGGCGTGGCTAACGACATCTGGGCAGAGAGCCATAATGAATGGTCGGCTGAAGCGCGTGAGAGATTCTTAAACTTAAAGTTAACCTTTAATTTGAGTAAATTTGTTTAACGGGATAAGAAAGTCTGTAAAAATTTGACAAAAATTTATTTTTAATTTGAGAAAATTTACTTGACAAAGGAGGGGAAAAAAATAACTTTAAGGAATATCTAAAATATTTAGCAAAAGTTAAACTTTAGTTGGATCAAATTTATTTGACAGGGAGGAAACAAATCCGAAATCAAGGAATGCCAGAAAAATTTAGAAAAATTCAAACTTTAATTTGAGCACATTTATTTGATAGCATGGAAAAAAGTCCCATATTAAACAATGTTTTGAAATAAAAATGAACAATCGTGAACAAACTTTTAACAATTTCTGATTTTTTTTCTGGGAATTTTCAAGTTTTTCTTCACACATGTTTAGTCACGTGAAATTAATCTCATGACTTAAATTTATTTCTTTTTTTTCTGTCTGTAATAATACGCTGTCATATGTTTTCCTTGCAAAATCCCTGGAAATTTTAGTCAAACACATGGAAACATAAACTCTGACAGATTTAGCTTACAAATTTAGATGTAGATTAAGTCAAATCTAAATCTACTGTTTGAATTTATAGGGAGAAAAAAGTGTGACCCTGTTTGTTATTTTTATTTATTTATGGAAAAATATTCTGTTTGTTGATTTCAGGAATCGTACGTACAGGTTGTAAGGAGAACAGAGACGGATTCATGCAGAACATTTCTGACACTGCTTGATATTTGTTGTTTGTTGTTGTTGGTCACGGGATCATGAACATGTTGACCCAAAATGGCCACATCCTGCTGATTCAACATTTTTAACATGTACTTGGGGAAAAAGCTCAACAAAACTCCATTGGACTTTGTGAACGCAGCCCATGTGACTCCAAACCCTTGCAGTTTACATCCTATTGACTGTATGTACAAGATAACTAGATAAATCTTAAAGTACAGTCAGATTAACCTATCTCTTAATTTGCAGAAAGTTCAGATAAACACTTCAGTTGATATAACGAGACACGTCAATAGGGTTAGTAGATAACAGCTCAGAACAAAAGAAAATAAGCTAATTCTCATGGATGTGAATGACAAAAGTACATTTTTCCACTCTTGGCTGTTTTGTTTATTGGCTTGCCGATTGCTCATGCCATATGACTAACAGCTTTCAGTCCTCTGACCTGCGAATTTTTTATTGTTCATCATCAAACACTTTTTACAGAGATGTGGAAAATTTCAGGTTAACCGTTTATCAAATGCTTACAACAAATTCTTTATAAATGTCAGATTTTGCATTTATGTAACCTTAACCAGAAACATAAATTTGGAATCCATTAGAAAAAAATGCATATTTAAACTTTAACAGCTTTTTAAAACTATAAATTACAAACATTTCGATGTACTTTGTGATTCACTGAATATCCAGTTGAAAACAAACTCTTACATTCACGCACATGGACTTTATTTCATTGTCTGACATTAAATCAGAAACTTTTCTTGTTTTAGGACAGTCCGTTTTTGTAAAATAATTTCTATTTGTTAAAAGAGCAAAAGAGATAAGACACATGTAACTTAAGGCAACACCTCAGAAAGGAGGAAACATTTTTATCCAAATGTGGTCACAGAAGATTAAATAGTATTTCTTCTTAAATGGGAAAACATCCTACAGTGAACCATGATTTTGCTTTCAGAGAAAGAGAGAGAGAGAAATACTTTATTGTTCTGTATGCAATTGAGTGAAGGGAACTCGTAGACTACAATATAATAAATTACTATTGAATATACAAGACATGTTCACTTCTGCATTGTATAGCTTTTTATTGAAATAAATTCAGAGGCTACAGTGGTGTTTTTTTTTATTTAGTTCATACCTAAGGTTTTTTGCCAACCGCCAATAAAACTCAAGAAGAAGAACTCAGTGCTGTATTAACCCTTTAACAACTTTTTTTTTTTTTTTTTACCAGCATTGCATTGAGAAGTACCTCCTAATATGAGCTTGGCAGTTCCACCAGATGTTTGCTAATTGCTGCTGGCTAGTCTGAGGAGCTCAGTAGGGAGGAGATGCACCTTGAAGGCGGAGCTAAGTCCATCCAGGTGTTTTTCACATCTGAATGGTTGCTATGGTTAACCGACTAAAAACGCACTTGTTTAGAATTGTATTTGAAACGTAATCAATTAAAAATGTAATGATGGAACAATGTATTGTTTATTCTATGTTGCATGAAAATTAAAGGATTTCTCATACTTGTATGAAAGTATCAAAGCAGCACTCCAGGTTTGTTTTTGATGTGACAATAGTATTATGACATGATGGAAAACTCAAAAAAGTCGACTTTACCGAATACTGCCCCTTTAAAGCTTCTAAAAACTAGAAAAGCCTGACATTGTTTTGAGTTGTTTTAGGGGTGAACGCATTAAAGCTGAAATCTGTTACCTTTGTTTGACAGATAAACGTTTCATCATTTAAATGATCTGCAATCTGAGTAATAACAGCTTGTGCAAACAGCAGGTAGTTTGCATGCTGTTTGAAACTGAATGCAGATTTAGATAAAAGACAGCCAAACGAGAGAAACAAGTGCATCTCAGAGATCCGCCGTGTTATTACTGATGGGTGTGCGCTCCTGTTTTCTCTCCTCTGAATCCGTCCCCACTGTGTGACTGGAATGCAAACTTATTTGTTGGCTGGTAAACATTTTGTCGAGCAAATAGCTTGTCGTGCCAATCCGAAATCACTGAAAGGAGAGCTGTGGAAACCGAAAGATTTGTCACGTACGGCGTGCGCCTCACCTAAACTCCACCAGCGGGAGAAGTGTGCAGATAAAAACCCTAATCTGTGGGTGACAGATGCAAGCTGCCATCCTGACGCTCTAATTTTGGGATGACAACTTGTCTAACTGATGACGTACGTCTGTGTGATTAGTTTGTCTTTCTGAGAAACAAACAGAAAATGAAAGCTGGGATGAAATGAATGGCATGTTTCCCTGGATCATTGCATAAAAATAAAAATTTTTTGTTGTCACGACTTAAAGAAAAGTCCCCAAAAAATGCCTGGGATTTAATTTGGAGTTGCAACCTATTTGTATTTGCTGACTTGCACTAAGAAACTACCCACCTCAGCCTTTACACAACAATTACAATTATGACACTGAACATTTTCGTTGATTGCAATATTTCTTGTTTCCAATCATAAACGACTATGACACTGCGTCAACACTGGAGGCAAACAGTAAATCTACTGATGTCAGCGGTCCGCTGCAATAAAAACCTAAATTATCCATCAGTCTAATGTGACCCGGCTAGGAGAAAGTGGGAAATTTGTTCTATCCATAATGTATGTCTGATTTTAAATTCATAAGCCCTCTTTGATGTGGCTGATCAGAGAGTCTAAAACACATGAACTGTTGTGACTCAATTTGATTTTTGCTGCATTTCAATATATTGTTTTATTGAGGCAGCGATTTATGCAGATTCTGGCTCCTGTGTTGTTAAGCTGGCTCCACAATGAGACACTTTAAATGTAAAAACATTATATAGTGAAAGTTCACTTTCACAAGGCCTTTCATGTCCACAAACATGCTGATCGGCTCTGATTTGCCCTGATAAAAATCTGGACCTGTGTTTTTATTATAAATGTGGGCAAAACTTTGTTGAAATTCTGCTAATGTTGAAAAAGCACAATTTTCTAATTGCAGCATTTCCTGCGACTCGTACCACTGTAGACAGAAGAATAGAAGGAAGTAATATCAATTTCAGACATTTTCTAGAAAAAAACTTACAAATTTTAAACACTTTCTAGAAAAATCCTTTTAGTGAAATATTGACCAATTCTTGCGCATATCTGTAATGGTGAAAACCATTTTAAAGGTAGAAACAGAGAAAACTTGGATTATTAACAACAAGAGAATAACTTGAACTGTTCGTAGTGATCCTGGACAATTGTTTTACACAAGAGAGGCTTTACGTCAGGGTTCAGAATTGCCAACCAACATTAACGCTTTACATGTCTCCTCTGCCTCTATTTGATGTGGAAATGCAAGCAGAGAAAAGGACAAAGAGATTTTAAAGCAGAATCAACATCAGGAAGAATGTGGTCAAACCTGCCAGGTGTAGATTGGGGAGCTGTAGTCTGCAGCTGGTTACATTTGCAGCTGCAGTGGCGAGCTTTCACATGAACAATGAGCCAAACTGTTTGAAAAAGCTGTTCCCCTCCTCACCTGTGGTGGTGCTGCACTGAGAACCACTGAAGGAGGCAACATGAAGATCGATGAGGAACTGAACGCAACTAATAGCGTCAGATTTCAGCAACTGTAGGATTTATATTTTGGTAAAAAACCACCAGTCGCTTTTGCTGCTGCAATTGACGAGCATGTTTGTTTTGGTTGTGTTTATTTATTTTGTTTGGTTGATTTGTCAGGGAGACCTAAAGTGAACCTCAGCAGCTGAAAATGTAACAAACGTTGCAACTTTGCTCCCAAATCAAACCAAGTCTAATGAACATATGTCTATATGTCCGAAAACAGCCTTTTGTTGACCTGGCAACAGGAAAACAGCTAAAAAATGAAGGGCAGTTGGTCCTAGAGATCAAGATTTGGGATTTCTGACCTTAAATGGGATTCCTGTTTGAAATGTATCATTAAACCTCTTGGTTTAATGAAATGTCCTGCCTTCAAATTAAAAGACGTGGAGAAGATTCAAATCAGAAGGAGATTGAAAGAAGCGGTTGCTTGCAGCTGCTTGATTAAACTGATTATTCTGCTCAATCGTCCATCTTGTGAAGGTCATAAGTCAGCGATGAATCTCTTCCGT